TATCCAAATTTAACCAAAACACAAATCAATGAATTGATGGCAAAGGCAAAAGATGCTGATTACAATCACTTGTGCTGTTTTGTTATGTTTATTCTTGCTCATGGCAACAAAACTAGTTTTACAACAGATGATAATGTACGTTATAAAATGTCAACCATTAAGGACAAGATTCAGAGCATTCCTGGTTTAGTTGGTAAGCCAAAGCTATTGTTTCTCCAGACATGCCGAGGAGATAAATTTGATGAGGGAGTTGATGTGGAAGCTGCTTCTTCTGATGGTGATGAAAAAATTCCAAGTTATTCCGATTTTTTGTTATCATTTGCATAGGCGGCTGCAGGGGCAGGCAATGAGGGCAATGCCCTACTAGAATTTCTTACCGGAAGATGACATCATCATAATTAGCAGTTAATTAATAATTATTTAGTAGTTATTACATGGAATATAGCTATTTTAATGACAAAAACTATATTATTTTGCTCAACAAAGTGATAATTAGTGGAGAATAAGCTGCTAACTGCATGGTTCAACACAGTAAGCTTCATAGGTCCATATCTATGGTCACTTCAGGAAGGCATAATCTACAGTAACCTGCAGCTAGAATAACTGACTCCATCATAAAAGCAGCTTCATTATTAATCATCATAGTCAGCTAGGACTCATTCAACAGCTAAACCACCTAGCTACTGATACTCTGTCATTGATAGAGGTCTTTTAGGTACTGAATTTTCTCCTTTTGAACACAAGAATGGCAGAGTAACTCTTCGTTGAGAATTTCAGAGCCTTTTTCAACTTGATTTCTTCACAAAATGCTGAAATAGAAGTCTTAACAGTCTTAAAACTCAAGAACAAGACATGTGGGTGTGGTCATGGCCACACCTACATTTTGACCACTCCCACTTTCAGCCACACCTTTGCCCTACTTGCAGTGAAATCCTGCAGCCGCCTATGTGCTCGAGCTGAGGAGGATCTTCTAGTGACCGGATATTGCGCAATACATCAAAGGGATTGCTCACTGTGCAAGCCCATGCATGCCCCGGGCAAGCCCATGCATGCCCCGGGCAAGCCATGTCACGACCTGGGCTTGCCCGTACAGTAGCCTTTCAATTGTGATCTGCGCATGCGCAGATCCCCCTGTATAAAGGAATGGGCCAACCTGAAAGCTGCTCGAGCTGAGGAGGTCTGAGTTAATTGGTAGGTGTGGTTAATGATTGTGGCCCATCCTACATACTAGTGAAGATGTCTGGTGTAAGGAGACTTATTCCTGTTAACAAATTGACTCTGGCTGGGACTTAAAATATTAAAAGACCTTCTTTCTTGATGTCTTTGGGGGACGGGCCGTCTTTCATTATCATTGGGGACTTGTACACAATCCTGGCCTGTCCGAGGCTTACCTCATCCATTACAACTGTAATTACACAATAGATCAATACTGTATATAATATTGTGTGTGTATAACTCATAAACATGAGTTTTACTGTATTACTGAACATGTACAATTAGGTAAAGTACGGTTTAAAATACAGTACAGTACTGTTTTAAATGCTGTATATTAGTGTTTTTACTGTTCTATTTATAGTTAGATGGACTTTGATGTACATTAATGAAGTTTTACTCTTTTTCAAAATGATAGATCATCTTTTACCAAGATAGGACAGCTTTTATTCATTATATATTTCTAATTGTACAACATTACTGTATATACAACTGTTGTTTAATTACAGTGTGGTGTGTAGACTGTTTTACCTGTATTTTAGTGTAGTATCAAGTTTATTATAACAATAACAATGACTATTAAGCTAGCTATTAGGTGTGATGATCGCAGTAGTGTTGTTATTACTCAAAGAATGTATTATTAATAAATGAATTAAGGAGATTGCGCAATACTTCTTTGCATGTGCAGAAGGTTGAGTGGTGTCTACTGTGCATGCGCAGGCCTCCTGTGTAAAGGAATGGGCCAACTTAGTGTAAGTAACATACCATCTTTACAAAAATGGCCAAAAAATCACTGTAAATTTTTATAACATTTTCTGTTACATATTGATGTTCTTATGCTGTGTAGAAAAATTCAGCTGATTCTGATCGAGTTTGGATTTTTTATGATTTTTTATAGTTGCTCCAGAATCGGAGAAAACTCCCTGTACTATAGTACAGAGATTCTCAGGAAATTTCAATAAAATTGACAAGTGAAAAGTTCCTGAATGTTATTACATTTTCTGATACATATTGATGTCCTTATGCCGTATAGGGAAGTTGAGCTGATTCCGATCAAGTTTGGATTTTTTATGATTTTTTATAACTTGCTCCAGAATCAGAGAAAACTCCCTATATTATAGTACAGGCATTTTAAAAAAATTTCAAAAAATTGACAAGTAAAAAATTCCTGAAAGTTATTACATTTTCTGATGCATATACATGTACTTATGTAGTGTACAGAAGTGGAGCAGATTCCCATTAAGTGTGGATTTTTTATGATTTTTTTAAAGGTGCTGTATATTTGTACCATGTTTGAACTGATTGTTAGTGGGTGTTCCCGGTATTGTCTACTGCGCATGCGCAGATCCCTTGTATAAATGAATGGACCAACCTGAAAGCTGCTCGAGCTGAGGAGGTCCTGTCTGAGTTGATTGGAGGGCGTGGTTAGGGTGTTCCCGGTATATTCTACTGCGCATGCGCAGATCCCTTGTATAAATGAATGGGCCAACCTGAAAGCTGCTCGAGCTGAGGAGGTCTGAGTAAATTGGTAGGTGTGGTTAATAATTATGGCCCATCCTACATTTTAGTGAAGATGTGTGGCTTATTCTTGTTAACAAATTGACTCTGGCTGGGACTTAAATATTAAAGGACCTTCTTTCTTGATGTCTTTGGGCGACGGGACATCTTTCACTATCATTGGGGAGTTGTTGTACTCAATCTTGGCCTGTCCGAGGCTAACCTTATCCATTACAACTGAAGTTACCGAGGTAAATACGCAGGCTATAGATCAATTGTTTATGTATAACTACTGTATAAGCTTATGAGTTTTACTGTATTACTGAACGTGTACAATTAGGTAAAGTATTGTTTAAAATACAGTACAATACTGTTTTAACTGCTGTATACTAGTGTTTTTGCTGTTCTATTTATAGTGAGATGGACTTTGATGTACACTAATGAAGTCTTACTCCTTCTCAAGGCGATGGATCATCTTTTACCAAGATAGGACAGCTTATATTCATTATATCTTTTCAATTGTACAACATTACTGTATATACTGAGATATTTAGCTGTTGTTTAATTACTGTGTGGTGTGTAAACTGTATTACCTGTATTTTAGTGTAGTATCAAGTTTATTATAACAATAACAGTGACTATTTAGCTAACTATTAGGTGTGATGATGGCAGTAGTGTTGTTATTACTTAAAAGAATGTATTATTAATAAATTAATTAAGGAGATTGCGCAATGCGTCTGTGCATCCGCAGAAAGTTGAGTGGTGTCTACTGCACATGCGCAGACCTCCTCTGTAAAGGAATGGGCCAACTTGCTGTAAGTAACATACCATTTTTGCAAAAATGGCCAAAAAATCACTCCCAATTTTTATTACATTTTCTGATACATATTGATGTCCTTATGC